TAAATGCACCTCTCCAATGTCTAAGAGAAAAAAATTTAATGAACATTTTTTAATGCATGACCTGCTTCACTGTACAGAAGACTGCCATATGATAGCGCTTTCTAGCTTGTTTGTCGTTTTGGTAACTACATCAAAATTACCGCTAGGTGGACAAAAATCATGGCATCTGGCGGAAAATCACCTGGCTTTTTTAAATCACGCGACTTTTTCAAATCACGCGAGAATGTGTACAAAACAACAAAAATGGCGCCGGCAAAGCTTCTAGGTCGTTTTCATCGAATGTCGAGGTTTTAAAGTCATTTTGGGTGATAAATAATTTTTTTTGCGATCATTGCACTTGCCCGGCGGGCAAATGCAATGAAATTTGTACTCTCCCGACAATAAAAACTACTTGCCCTGGGCGATCGGGCAATGGTTCACCAATGGTTATTGTTATAATATAGGGTATTAAATATAAACAGTTTTTTCACAGGGTATTGAATAGTGATTGCACATTATGTAGTTTATTACGTATGCTGTGATATGTAGAAGGGTAAAATCTTTATCAAACGGCAATAACACAAGTGTGACTAACAGTGTGTATTTAGCTGCAACTTTCTTATACAGTGAAATCTTAATAAGGCGGATAGGTTTTGAGAAAATTACACTTTCTTTACTTCAGCTAGGTGACCAGACATATGCAGTGACATGGTGTGTTGGGAAAGGAGGCCTACTGCATAAAGACCTTTACATCCCTCAGCTTAGAGCTTGCTGGCAATCGTGCATCCTCATTTATATTTATTTTGGAGTCTGCTGAACCACACAATACTCCTTAGAGATACAGTTTTCCCTATTTCTTCACAGTTGGTGATATTACCTTGAGTTTTATATCATTAATGTGGAGGAAAAGAGCATATCTACCCACACTTTTCCATTAGAACAAGTGTCATTACTGTTTAATATTCTTCAGCTCCCAGCAGATGTGTGTTTGGCGCCACCACTTTGAATTAGAGTATTACAGCATTCTGTAATGTGTCTGTCTGCACTTGAAACCACTGCGATCACAAAAAAGTGGACCACATGCAAACTCCTTGTGAACAGACATAATGTTTGGTACCTAGGCACTTTTTTCTGGCACTCATTCAAAACAACTTCATACTGTAATTAATTATATGAGGAAACTTTTTAAAACCCCAAAACATCTTAATCACTCCATTAGGTTTCTAACTGTTCCCTTTCTTTTGTAAAAAAAATATAATTATGTAAACATTGCCTTACAACCTCTGCAGCTACTGGAATAGGCTGTGATTAAAAACTCTTTGAAGGTCAGGCGCACCTGTTTGAGAAATTATTAAGCTCTTGTTCCAGCTTTTTCAATGCAACCAATCCAGTGCAATAAAGAATATAAGAAAACAAAAATATTGTCTGCAGTCTCTCATATGTGCATCCGTGAGCATGAACATATAGATAAGATGACAGAAGCTTGCACACCTCTGCTTGTGTCTGTATTTGAGAGCATCAATGTGTGCGTGTTGAAAGAGCGAGTGAAGGTAGAGTAAAAGAGGGCTGTAGAGCCAAAAACCAATGACTGGTTTATCCATGTTAAGTCAGGCCAAGCTGTACCCAGGTGTATTTTCTTTAAGTCAGAAGGAAGCTGACCTTTGCATCAGACTAAGCGTCTCGTGGCTTTCCTGGAGTAGCTCTAAGACACATGGCTAAACAACAGACCTTAGGCCTCATTTTGGGATGAATGTCTGTGTCTCCTGGTGTGTGTTAGTACGTGTTGGTGATCATGCACTGACCACATCTTGATAGCTGCGGCCTTTCCGGCATAATCTGGCTACAGCAAATGAACACATTCAGCGAGCTGCGCTCCCTGTAATTACTCTCCCACAGCTCGGACTGAAAGCTCAGTTTTTAGTTGTAAATGAAGCAGCCGTGATTGTTCCACAGCACAAGTACATCCAAGAACAATATGAAGTGAAAAAAAAATCACAAAAAGAGTGAAAAGTGGATATTAAAACAGCAGGGGAACTTGAAACATCGGGGATGGAATACAAATACAGAGGGGCCAAAAAAAAAGAGAGAGAGGGAGAGAATTAATAAGCAGCTCTAGCAGCAACATGCATAATCCTTCACATGATATGGTGGAGCAGCATACAATATAAATGAACACAATTTGCTTGTAAACAAAAAAGGAGTCCTCATGCAATATCCAGTAGTGGCTTTTAAATATATGCAAGAGAAACCAGGAATTCCATATGTGTGTGTGTGTGTGTTATCATCACCAATTAAAAGAGTCTTTCATCAAGAGAGTGCCGTGCAATAAAAGGCTGGATTATTTCCTAAATGCTCAGGCTACAGGGACACTTTGCTTATTCAACTTATCACCATGACAACTCTTGTATGACATTTTTGAGTTCCTCTTCTTCCCTCTTTGGAATTCAACCCTCACTCAGTTAAATATTCCTTTCTGGCCAACAACTACAATCAAAGCACTTATTTCTGAGCTGTGTCATGTCTCCAGGAATACCACACTCTCTCTCTCTCTCTCACACACACACACACACAC